GAGTATGATTACTGATTCTATCTTGCCAGAATCACTCTGGGTTGAAGCATTAAAGACCGCAGCGTATATACTCAATAGAGTTCTAACTAAGACCACTGATAAAACCCCTTATGAGCTTGGGATGAACAAGATGCCTAGTTTGAAACACGTACACATTGGGGGATGTCCAACTGGGGCAAGGTCTTATAGGCTAAATGAAAAGAAACCGGACGAAAGGATTATCAGTTTTTATTTTATTGGACATTCTGAAAGATCTAGGGGTTATAATTTTTATGATCCCACAACTAAGGTAATTTTTAAGACAGGAAATGCCTGATTCTTTGAGGATGTTGTTTGTAGGGGAAAAAGGTTACAGACTATGTCTTTGAGGATAAATACATTGAAATTCTTTCAATTGCCATTAACAATGACCATGATTAGGTTTCTATTCCTGACATTTTTCAAGAAACTGCTTTGGATCAAGGCAATATCGTTGTATCTATTTCTGAAGGTCAACAACTTGTTCCAGAAGAACAAACTCTACAGCCTTAAGATCCAATACTATTAAGAAGATCCATTAGAGAGAGGAGAAGTGCAGTTTCAAATGATTACATCTTATTTCTCCAAAAAAACATGAAGTTGACATTGGACTGGTGGAAGATGATCCGATCAACTTCCGTCAAGCCATGTAAAGTTCTAACTCTCAAAAGGCGATCGATGCCATAAATGAAGAAATAAAGTTCATGAAGGACAATGACTGTGGGACCTCTTTTTTGCCTGATGGTGTGAAACTCATTGGTCGCAAATGGATATTTAAGACCAAGAGGGATTTGACAGGTGATATAGAGAAGTATAAGGATTGTCTTGTCGCAAAGGGCTTTACACAGAAAGAAGGTATCGATTAGAAAAAGATTTTCTCTTCGGTTTCTTCGAAAGACTCTTTCTAGATTATAATGGCATTGATAGCGCATTTCGATCTTGAGTTACATTAGATGGATGTTAAGACAACTTTTCTCAATGGTGACATTGATGAAACTATTTATATGCACAACAAAAAAACTGTGTCGGATGATGT